GCTCAGAGCATTTGTTAAGTTGTATGACATCAACAAACAATGATTTGTAGTTTGTTTCACATTATATGGATGACCAAAATGTTCTGGTTTTTTTTTCTTTAAAATGATATCTAGCAACATGGTTTTTTGTCTCTGAAATTGTTGGAGCCGTTTCGGAGATCCTGTAATGATAATACATATAGATTTGCTCGCTTAAAGGTATTAGATAGATACATCTTAACAACGATTTTCGTACATTTTATTATAAGAATTGATATTATTCTTTATACATTATAAATCGACGTGGGCATGTTACTACTCCCATGAAAAAGATACTAAATCTAATGCTCCTCTCTTTAATAATCGGTAATATTCTTAGAAACAAATAAACCCATTTGATACTTTGTCTCACCCGCGTGAATCGAACCCGAGACTCTTAGGCCCTTTGATCAGCAGACGCACGTTCAAGCAATCGTTCAAGAAAGCATATTTATCAAGGAGGATATTGATGTTATTAAATTAGACATTATCACAAGAATAACACTACTGTTGGCTGCTGGAGTAAGTATCAAGGACTTTAAGATAGAAATTATTTTATTGACATATGTGGAATAGGTAAGTCGCGTTTAAAATAAATATAATGCCCAAACTCTTTACTTTAAAAATAAAAACTATCTACAATAATACTACGTAATAACAAAAAGTATTTACCATTAACTAATATTTAATGTAAAGTTTAATAAATAATCGTAAAAGTAAAGGTTGTTGTTGTGAAATTTAGTGTAGCTAGAGCTTCGATAGATGGCGTTAGTTACGGCGTTACACATAAATTAACAGGGTGTGCAATTAACATTTCGAGTGCCAAACACTCCACCTGGTGACATTCTGTATTTAGTATCAGTATTTGCTATCAATATATGTAAGATGTGCCTAACCTATAGCTCTGTAATATTTGCAGCATTTCATAAATCTTTCACTATACGAGAGATTTTCCTGTATACTTTACCGAAAGGAGCTAAGCTTTGAAATATAAAAAGCGGATAACTCCACGGACCGAGTGTTGTGGACAGGGCAACACGATAAATGATATTATCCACAAAACTGATACAAGAGAGCCGTGTAGCGATTGACAAAAACATATGTGGCTACAACAATAAAATAATCTTACTTTTGTTATAGAAATACATTTTTATACGTAGTATTTCAAACTTACGTTTTACTTTTCTATCTATTATAGGAATCCAGAATCTAGTAATTGAAACCAATAAAAATATATACAAAATCCATTCATATAAAATGATTAAAACGCTCCAATTACAATGGATAGTAATTGATTACTTTTATGCTTAAATAGGTTTGTTATTTCGGATTGCGAAGCCGGTTTGTTTTATCATTAATGGGATTTACAATTTGCAATAAAAAGTGGATCCCACTCGGCGCTGTGGCGGCGCGGTGCGGTGTCGTGCAGTGTGATGCGTGCGGCGCGACGCGGCGCGGTCGCGGACACAGCGGTGGATATTTCGGCGTAATTAAAACAAACAGGAGGAGGCTCGCCACTCCTCTCTAATTGCGTTCGTGTTGAAATAATCACGGAAATTGTGACAGGATGTACTATGTGTATCGGCGCTTACTGATTACGCAGATGACACACTGAAGCACAGGCACAGAAATTATTATCGGATAGAATCCGTAATGAGTAGAAACGTAAGTAACAATGGCGCATTCGGATTACTCCTACTTTAGTAGCTGACGGAAAATGTTAAGTAAACATAAAATACGTGAGTTTTAGTCTACCTCTGCTCATTCAAGACTAAACGGAAATAAAATGAAAGGCTTTAAAAGATCTGGCGATATAAAATGTAATTGCTTTGGCTAGAAACCGGGAAGTGTAACGGCCTCTAACTCCACTCAATAGTAATACGAAAATAAAAGAAAGAGATAAGAATGAAGACATACCTACCAGAATAAGGTCTTTTATATATTGAATTAGGCCACGAGGGAATTGGGGCTAAATTGCTAACGACATATCGACTTCCGAGGTTAAGCAACCCTGTTGAGGTTGTATGGTATGTGGACAATTTATGTTTCTCAAAAGCTGATTGTGGAATTTTGTTGCATTGGAACAGGTATACGAGAGTGCTTAAACAGTTTAGAAGTCGAGTCAAGTTTTTTAGCTATGGCTACATTGATTTGTGGATATCAGTATAACTTAATGAAAACTATCAAATGTATTCTTAAACATTAAAGAATAGATAAATGTAGAAAAACAAGATGAGTGGGCGAATTAGTGGTTCTTGGAATTTGAATTGTGTTTTCGGTTTTCAGACAATAGCAAAAAATAAGACATTATGCTTAAATGACCTCAACGACCAAAGGGATAGATAGATCTGTGTATATGTATGTATATTAAGAGTCGAAATTAAAATCCAGTCTCAGTAAAAAAAATATATAAGATCGACCTAAAACAATTTTAATAGAGATCAGTAGTTATTTTTGCTCCACGTTTATAGAACAAATATATTCATAAATGGGGAGACTGACATACGCCACCGGTAATATTTGGGAATCGAACCAGGCTGTAGCACTGTAGGTCTCGATGTGTAAAATAATGTTTAACTAAGATAAGAAATAAATTATAACGATTTACTATTGATGAAATGAAAGGAAATGGTTGCAAGCCTTTTTTATGTAAGGCGGCGGCACTCCAGCAGACGCATTACCTGATGGTAAGCAATCGGCTCTGCCACAGGATCAACACCAGAAGAGTCACAAGTGTGTAGGGATAACGGGTTTTGGGGATTTAGGAATTGAAGAGGGATAGGAAGAGGAAGGACTACGAATTTACTTTATTGACACAAAAGCAATAAAACAACGCTGAACTTCGAATAGGAATACGATGTCCTTGTGTAAATAAACATAAAATATTACATTTTCGTCTACAATCGGCACAGTATGGGAGCCATGATATTTTGCAGACGAAACATAATTAGGTTCATTAATCTTCTGACATTCGTAGAGGAACAAAAGAATCGACTCAGCAAATGGATATCAGTGACATCAGCCTAAAAGCTCAAAGCTCCCACTTTATTGTTAGTCGATAGACATTCTATGCGGACATCGCTTTTTCTGCTATTTGAATGGGTCGTATGTGTGTGTGTTTTTTTGTCATTTACTAGAGTTGTATGAAAGTTCAATTTTGTCGGTCGAATAACGTTACGTTTCGATTTTGGTTGTGTAATTGATGGAATAACTTTTTTAGAGGAAAATAAATGGCTGACATTTTTATTATTGTATTTGTTATGCACTGACAATTAACCACAGAATGCAATGTATATGCATTGGAAGCATTTGCCTTTAATGAGTATGGATATGACAAGACAAAAACTATTAACCATTAAGCTATTTACATGACACATTACACGTAACGACTTCTTTAATTGTCTTGCAAAAAAATGAAGAGGTTTCACAATTCGTCTGCATACAGGGTCGTCGTGGTTAGGACTTCAGGGGTTTATAATAATATGATAACAGCTGGGGCTTTACAGAGCTAATGTGCAGCTGGGGTTGCATGTCAAGCGCAATAATCTACCGCAGAGTCAGTAAGAGTCTGACACTCCCTCTCGCACTAGCCAGGGTGATGCGGATGAAGTCATTTGACGATTTCCCCTCTAAAAAAGGGTTTATACGATAAAAATTGTCTATTATAATTAAAATTTTTATTTTTTTTTAAAAAAATCGAAAGTTTTTAATTCAATTGTAAGCTTTTTCTTCTTTGGTATAGATAAGTTTATTTATCAATCTATATCAAAAGTGTATTGTTTCTAAAAAAATTGCTGCAGTTGTCGAAAAAAATGGATGAATGAATGGATGGAAAAATATCGGTGCCCGTGAATATAAAACACCCGCCAAAACATTTCTTAAAACGGTGTTATAGTGGCGAGTATATTTAACTTGTAATTTTTTAATTATTACATCTCAAAAGGAGAGAAAGGGAAAGATATTTCGTTGAAATATAACTAAACATTTCGTACTGTGAAATATAACTAAAAATTAGAAGATGCACTTAGTTGAATCATCGATACTTCTGATCGATGTTGTAACATGAAAAAAAGAAAATTATTACTGTTTACAAAAATATGTGCATAAAAACTATTCTAATTGATAACAACGATCCAGCCGGCAAGTAAAAGCCACTAAAGTGTTTTTCCTCGACCACTTAAATACTTTTTCTTTCGATATAAGCCCATAATAATACGTATTTATAAAGAAATTGTAACAAAATTATAAACACCTTAATGTAAGCTACGCCTATTAAGGTATTAATTAATAATTTTGTTCAGAACTTGAGGCCCTGACTTTTTACTTATCATCGGGTCGTTAACCTATGAGTATATATCAATAACATTTACTTTATAAATTTTGATTTTGATTTTCAGTTTGTGTAAATTTACCTAATGTTAATGCCTTGAAGACATAGTTTGTGATATCAAAAAATAAATATTGCATTTCAAAACTTATACATTATATAGTTTAGTGTAGTAAGATTTAATTCTACAGTGAAAGTAATTGCAAAGAAAAGATTGTGATCCCTCAATTCCAGTAAAACGCTCGGGAGGACAAGGTGCTACGCAGTCAGTGCTACGTTGCTACGCGGATTTTAAGTTTAAATGTACTAAAAGTATTCATCTATTAACATCACGACTTCGTGGTTCTTCCATACAGTTTAATGCCTTATCTGTCACTTTAGGCTACTCTTCCTCTCAATTTTATTATTTCCATAAGTATAGTATAACCAGGTATCGATGAATATAATTTAAACTTGACGCTAGACAGCAAGAAATTTTAAGCTCTCTGGTGGTTGTGTACGGTGTAGTCGCGTTAAGAGATTAATGTGTTTAAAGTGTTGAAAACCTTAAGGGAATCTTAATGGGTTATTAAAAAGTGTAAGAGAAAGCATCTGACGTGACTGTAACACTTCTAAGGGAAGTAAGAGTAATAGGAGGAGTTGAGATGACGTTGTTATGGTGTTGGTGTGCTGGGAAGTAAAGTTAGTTGATGGGGCAGGTAGGGATGTGAGAGTGCGGCTAGCATGCGCGGGCCGGCTGCAGACGCGGCAGACAGTGCGGCTCGCGCGGCGGCGGCGCCTGCGGGCGGCGCGGGGGCGCGCGCGGGGCGCGGCGGCGCGGCGGCGCGATGCTGCGCGCCTCTCAGTCGAGACGCGAGGCCCGCCCGCCCTAGCCGCCCGTGCTGCCGCCCGCCCGCCCCGCGCGCTCGTCACGCGTCGCTCGCCACGAATCGCTCTACCTACGATCGTTAATTACACCCTATGCTGGATTCGCATGTGTACTTAATGAATTATCACATTCGCCAAAATTTTTTAAAATTATCTCCTCATCATTTGGGCTTACACGCGCGTGTAGTCGTTGAGTATTTTCGAAGCTTTTGGATGGACCGGAAGGGGGGGGGGGGGGGGCGGGAGGGTCGACGGATTCGGAGGGTCGCGGGGCGCAGGGCCCCTCGCGACGCGGGGTTAGTAGGTTCGCGATGTCGCGTCGTCGTCGGTCGGAATGCATTCGCGAACGTAGAGCGGCGACCTGAGGTGCCGCCGCGATTCTCACCTGACCACTCGAGGTCGGTCACCTCTTTTATTAATGAAACTTTACTCAAATATTTCCCTCCTATCCGGTATTTTTTTCTCGGCTGCAACCTTCGAGCATAGAATTATTTTTGGGTCAAACATGACGAGATGCAAGGTCAAGCCTGCTAGGTGTCAACGAACCCCTTCGTCCGGTGCCTACGTCAGGTCGATGACGTTTAGGTTGACAGCTGAAAACTTTTAACATTGTAGTAGGCTGATACTACTAATGTTACCGATCTCTAAACTCTAATTTAATTGTGTGGTGCTCCAGTAAGATAACGTAACAAACCGGAAGAAAAATAACAGAGTGTCGACATGAAGAACGAAGACGGAAGTGTGTAACGACTGGCGGCGATCGGGGAGGCCACCGCGTTAACCCTGCCCGAATTAGTGCACCGGACGAGACTAAAATAGCGAGGCGGCGTGTACGGTTACATGCGGCGCGTCAATGTCGGCGCGCCGGCAGGCCGCGTGCTCCTCGGCGGCTCTCGGCGGGTAAGCTTACACTGCGTCTGATTGCAGAGCGAGCTGAGGCCAGCCCTATATGTGGAGGCGGCGCTGCGGGCCCGCCGCCGCCGCCGCCGCCGCCCGGCGCCGCTCTCCGCGCCGCGCACGCCCTCGCACCTCGCACTACTAGCTATTCCTGGAGTCATCTGTTCCACTGTATACGCTAAATTTTACACCTTTCTAAATATACATAAACTAAGCACACTGTTGATACAAGTCTTTATAAAGCCGATATTAGTATTCTGTGTAACCCACGCATGTTCCTAATATTACACGCATAATATTATGTTTCAACCAGCAAGATGAAGATGTACGACGACCAGAAATTGACTGAAGAAGACTACTCAAGAGGCCGAGGCGTCGAGCGTGAAAGTGTAAGCGTTGTCCGCTTTAGCTGGTTGACTTCGGGTCAAATTGTAATTTGGATATCATTTGGTCCCCTTCAACCAGCTGTAGTTGACATCTGTTTCGCTTTCTTTGCGCGAATATTGAAGATAAGCTGCAGTACACGAAGCACGTAATTCCAATCGAATTTGTTTGCTTTTCCAACTGTATCTTTTCATTATTTGTCATGATCGGTCTAACACATAATACATTAATTACTCTTAGTGTAAGCGTATGTACATATAAGTGAAAAATTAAAATTTATGTCAGGTTAAACGCTTTTTTGTGAAGTAAACTTAACAACTTACTGTTTACTATAATATTATTAAGATTAATCGCTTCTTAATCGAGTTCTTACCTTTTTAATGTACAGTAAATGTATCCGCTCAATCAAAACATATTAAAACACATGACATTAATGTATAAATGTGTGCAAACAGTGGTCCCATACGTGTAATTAATTAATTACATTTTGTCTCACTCCGCCCGCTGCGACACGACGAAACATGCATTACTTAGTGAAAAACAACTGTTAATGAGATGTGTTATTGTTGTGAGGTATCATTCACGACCATATATCTCACACCGTGTTCTCGAGAATATGTTACTTTTAAAGCTAAATAGTCATAGGTACACTGCTTCAAAATACCACTGAGGCTACTGGTTCTTTCGATCGCTAGTTTAGCTCAAAAAATCTCGACAAAATAAAAAAACGATGAAGCCGTGATAAGCTTAATTTTACCTGAACCACGTTTGAGACAACCACCTCGATATCTATAGCAAAACAATAGTGATATAAAAAGAATATAAAATAAATGGCAAGGGATCCCAAAATAAATATCTAAGAAAGAATATAAAGATGTCTTTTAAAAGGTAATATAACTATGCGTTTCGTGAGTCGTGAGCCGTACCTGAATTTAGTGCGGGCGGTTTGATGGCTTTACAGATTTTTTTATCAAGGGGTACCTTTGGGAAAACAAGCTTTCAGAAGGTAGTGGATAAAGTCGTTTGTGCCAGTGCGGTCATGATATTGATTGAAGGCAGTACGGTTTCTGAAGTTCGCACGCAAGGGAAGGATCATAACGTACAACGCACTTTGATATTATAACGAGATTATCCGTGGAACCGCTAACGGGTTGCGTCTTTGGGCATATACATATGTACCTACCACATAAAGAATAGGTCTTTACCTATGAAATTGCCATTCTACAGCACTGGCCATTTCAAATCAAAATAGTTTTTATTAGGCTAACGCTATTAATTTAGTTTAAAAAACATGGGATTCTTTTTCCAAAAGTAGTCATTTGTTTATTGATTAGTGTTACATTTTCATCGCATTTCAAATCAAAAAATTCGTTTAAATTTTTTCATGCAAAACGGCAATTTCATAGGTAAAGACCTATTATCATGTGTTTGAAATAATCACAACCAAACTACACCAATGATGACATAGATGGGTATCAATGGGTCGCGTGTTTCAAACTTATTACTGTAATCAAATGCTAAAATTAAACCTTTTTTAATTACTTTTGTTTATATTCTGAGAACGTGACTTCATTGATTACCTAGTTAAGCATTTAATGAATATAGATAGTATTCAGTTTTTAAACTGTATAGTTATATTTTTAAGATAGTTACCTAATAGAGTAGGAATTTTGATACACTATCTCTTGAAATGCGGGCTTAGTTCCATCGCTGGTTGATCACAAAAAGAATGAAAGCATTATCTTAGTAATAAGGTCGACAACAAAAGTTGGGTTATTTTACTTTAATTGTGGTTAAAACTGCGTGACACGTACAAATAGTTTTTTTAAAACATAATTTAAAAAACAAATTTAATACATTTTTACCGTATTAAAATAATGTAACCAATGTTAAAACAATAAATAAGAATGTTGTAAAATTATCGGAAGAGATTCTTATAATAAATTGTCTATTTTCTCGAATTTTCTCAAAATTGTATATCTGGTAGAAAAAACGAATACGTGGCGTCTTTGTGTAGCTATTTTATCTTTTCAAGCGTATTATAAATATTTGTGTCCCATAACAGCTCTTTAGTAGTCATCTTATTGTCATTAATTTAAAATATAGACACGATACATACGTACGTTCAACACAATTGAAATACGTCATGAAACTTAAAAAAAAACGTTACATTAAAATATTGATATAAAATGTAAATGTTCACTTAGACGTAAAAGTATTTAAATGAAGCTAAACTTCTTGAAATTTCAATAACATTCCTGACTGCTCTACATGATTAGTTTTTGTTGGGTCGGAAAGTGTGACTGCTGAGAGAGGGTGGCGGGGTCGCAAAAACCCCGGAGGCAGTGGTTGCAGTCGCGCCGGCGGCGGCGAGCCCCGCACCGCTCTGTGGTGCGACTTTGTACCATAAATCAAAAGCACCCGCGGGAACCCTCGGAACGTGTAACGTAAGTGTATATAAAACACTGTATCACTGATGATAATACAAAGGAATTTTAAGTAGCCGGGTTAATATGGATCAACACAAACGCCATGGACTTTGTGATACGTATATGTATGTATCGATGAATCTATATTCTTTGTGTTTACAGCGCATTCTTCATCTGTTCACACATTTTAACAAGTCATTCCGACCCAAAGACCTCAAAGTTCGACGGCACGCTTAATGGCGGGCCTCCGTTGTGATTTTTCTGTACGTACCAACTTATTAATTTTGGTTATCATGTAACTCGAAGTATAAGTGTGAGTGTGCCTATGTTGAGAACGGTTGGTTTGGAAAAAAGTTGAACATTTAGAGTTATTCTAGCGACATTGGCGTGTTAAGGTGGTGGCGCTTTGCTCGAAATACGGCTCAGAAGGAAATCACCTGGCAGGCCATTAACCTAATTCACGGACGCAAAGACAGGGCGGAGACGCGGGTGGCGGCGTAGCGCCCGCTTTAATATCGCCGCGCTGCCGGTAATAAGATGGAAATAAGGCGGTGGCAAGAAACCGGGCCAATCATTGCCGTTCGCAACTTGACACCGCCAATGTACATACTTCGATAAGTATAAAGTAAATTCACTTTGGCTTTCATGACTTTCAAAAAGTCGCTATATCCAAAGTATTCAAATAAATGTCGTAGCAAAATATTTGCTGTGTACTTCTAACCGCGGCCGCGTCTTCCTCGCCGACTCATTTAACAGTTCTAAAATACGGACTATCTGTAGATACCTGTATAACTGGCTGCTTATTTAGATGCTACGCGTTGACGAATCTTTAGAATATATTAAGCTATAATTGTTTTCTTTAAACTCCTAAACAAGACTTAAGTTTCTGAGACTTAAGACTTTAAAAGCACTTAAAAAGTATAAAGCTTTATTTCAGTCGGTAAAAGATAAGTACTGAAGACTAAATTTAAAGTAGCTGCATTACTGGTTCATTTAAAATTCATGGAGTATACGGGGCATGGTTCGATGTTTGACATGGCAAATAAAATTATAATGGTACGAGAGGAAAGGCAGCGCGCCCTACTGCCCCGCGCCGAGTGTCCTCCGCGACGAGCAACACTCTAACAGGTTTTGCTTTTTTCCTCGATTTTTACAGTTTCATCGCAGACAACTTTGTAATCCATGAATTTAGATGATTTATTGTAGTTCGTAACTTACAAAAATCTTTAACTGCTCATTAGATACGTATGTTATTGTAAAAACATTCGTTTTCGTGTTTACCTATATGTAGGTCTGTATGTGAGCACGCACATATATATTTGTGTCGATTGTAATTTAAATAATGATCTGTGATTTTGTTACGTAAAAAGATTTCAACGTTATTTACGATCACAGGGAGGTATTACCGTCAACCTAAATTGTATTTTATATGTATATAAATGTAATAAAATACGCAATAATACAAGCTTGTTATTTTAGTAGGGTAACGATGTCTTCTCAAACAAAGAAGGTATATGAAAAAGGGAAGCTTTCGAAATAAATTTCTGTGTCTACATATGTACTTATACTTTTAATCTGTTTACGTATCTAATGATAATTAGTTATGTATTTCTGAAGTATCCGATAACAACTAAGAATGTATGTAACCACATATAATTAGCTGTTGTTTAGATAGGGTTATATCAAATCAGGAATATATATTTCAAGGGGAAAGCTCAGTAATAGTACTTATCAAAAAATTTAAAATCGTGGAATCTAAGGTAAAATCTGTAATACGAGGAGTATATTATGTTTAATGCGAGGATACGCGTAGTGTTGGTTACAGAATACTGTACTTGAATATATTAGGGTGGGTTTGTAAATAGTGTTACAGTAGGTACGGGTGTAGGGACCCTTGTCCTCAGAGAACAGTAAACTCCTTTGTCAAATCATTATCGAAGCAGTATAGCGGATGTTGCGTGCCAAGTAACGTGTGAGAAAAAATTTGTATTATCTGTAAATGCTAGGTTTCATGCATTTGTCTTTGTAAATGACACAAGGGTATGAAATGGGCACCAAATAAATTTTTCTTTATAAATTTTTTCTTTCTTTATAATTTCGATGCTAGGAGTCCATTTTAATGTGGAGCATCAGTAAGGTCAAATTCTTTAAAATAAAATATGCAATGTTAACAAATTTTCACAATTACAACAGCATAATTTAGTTATTAGCTGGAACTGAGAGCTCAACAAGCGTCTTTGATAAATCACAATAACAGTTTGCGAATAATGAATAATAAATCCTCAGTTGTAATTTGTAGTTATGACAGTGGTGATTTATATGATGAAATTTGAATGGTATAGAAAGTGCCATGAATTTTCATTTCCGGT